ACGAGGATGGATGACATTCGATTCCAAAGATACTCAAAGCGGAATATACACATGCCTCGTGATGGATCAACGGATATACAGGAAAAGTTTCATGTGTTCTGACTTGTGATAGGTTATAAAAGAAATAAAAAAGGCAGTCAAATTTTATATTTCCTTTCGATTTATTATGTTACCCATTTAAAGGATCTATTTTAAAATTTCTTTTTTTTGATAGTAGTTCTTCCGTCCTATCAGTCACTGTGGGCTCGAAACTGTTAACACCAGTGCTTCGAGTGGTCGAAATTCACTTTTGTGAAAATTTGTTTAATCACTTTATGTTAAAAATTGTTTGTAAATAGGTATGCAACACATCGTACACTTGAGCGTAAGAAATTGCTGATACTAACTACTTAATAGTACTTTGCCCTGTGCTGACAGCACTCCTAATTTCTTTTATTTATATATAATATTAGTAAGTATTTTAGAAATAAGTCATTTAGCACTATGCCAATGTTTTGTGTAAACTCGACCATGCACAATTCTATACATATAAATTGAAGCAAAATCGAAGACTATTACAACTATGAACTTTGGAGGTTTCAAATCTATTTACATTGTGTGACCTAATATTATCGGAGACGAGTAAGTCCCATTCTGCACCACTTATTACTTGAAAAGACGGGTCTGAAAAATATGTTTATACTTGACAGGCTTCTTTCTTGAATGAAAAACAAGTCTGGGATGATAAGGATTGCAAATGATTTATTATTAATGAAAAAAATACAATATATACATATATCACTTATTTGTAAAATATGTTTGCTCTTAAATAAGAATGTGCTATTGGGCTGTTTTGTAGTCAAGAATACTTTAAATTGTAATCGTTTTACAGTTATTAGACCTGATGCGTCTGGTTTCAGTTGTCTTATAATAACAATATCAGGAAGTACACTTATTGGTTCGTTGTAAATGTAAAAGATTTCATTGAAACAACGACATAATTGGTAAGGGGATTATTATTATAAGTTTTTTCATTTTACCGAGAGTATTTTCAAACTGATTTGCCTTATTGAGCCCCCATAAGGTAGAATTGATTGTAAGTTTATACAAGTGATAGGTTTCTCCCTTAAGACCCTTTTACGAGAAACCCATAAGGCAATCCTCATTTTAGTATCACCACTTTTTTTGGTGGGATTTTCATGAGTCTGAGTCTAAGTTGATTAGGATTGCAAATGATTCATTATTGGTAAACCAAGATCGACATTTCACCTTTAGTTAGAAGGAATTTTCAAGGTTCTAACTTAGTTTTTACGTCTATATTTTCACTGCGATCTCAACCAACCCAAATAATAGGAAAGACGTCTAGTTTAGGATTCGCACCTAGTAGCGCGACGCCACTGTGTACCGTCTAATCTGTTATGAATCTTTTAAAAAATTACTAAAACACTGGAAAGTATTCTTTCTTACAGTCATTGATTTTATGTTTTTTTGGATAAGAGGTTTATTTGAACGGTTAAAAGAAATCTGTTGCCGATAAGCAAAAGAAAAGAAAATAAAAAAGTGTCTGCCAACTTCTAACTGTTTTCCGTTTGTTTCTTTTTGCTTTCTTTTGCTTTGAAACTAAATTACTGGAAATAAAGAATTTATTAAGTTACAGGAACATAAATTAGTAACAGCCTTTATTTCTACGCTTTCATTAAAACATATCTAAACATTATCTATATATTTTAACAGTTATTATCTCTTAAAAATGTTTGAATCTAAGTAATGTAAATTGGTGAGAACGGAACATAGGGAATCTCATTTTTAAACAACATACTCATTTAAAAGACTTACAACATAGAGAAACTATATGATGATAATTATTTTTTTTTTTTTTATTTTAAACGAGCACAAGGTTCTCAAATACATAAAGTTTTACAACGGCTGCAGACGAACGCTATAATTAATAAAAAAGTTGTGAAAATTTCCATTTGTGGCTTAATTGCTTGAAAATGAGTATAAACTTTCATCCAGTAGCACCCATCTTTTCATATATATAATAAATAAGTCCAATAAAGTAGGTAATATAAGTTCGAAATGTGGTGTTACAGGCGAATGAAGAGGTATTAGAAAGAATAGGAGAAACGAGGACTCTATAGAAGTCAATAAAAAATAGGCGAAATAGGTTGGTAGGACATCTACTCACATGTTAGAGGTAGAAACAGGAATAAAGAGGAGTAGAGGCAGACCTAGATTAGACTACTGTTCGCAAACAGTTAAGGGTGTGGGATGTTCTAGCTTTAAGAAAATGAGAAGATTAGCTCAGGTTAGGAGGTGCTTGTCCAACTAGTCTTAGGACTAACGACCTTACAATGACATGAAGTCCAATAAATATAATTTAAAACTTTTACACGGAGGTGCGCTATTTTTCAAAAGATTTTAAAAGCTCGATTAGTTTAGGACAAATTTTCAGAGAAGTAGACAATTTTTTCTGATGGACGTGGATGATGAAATATATTCAACCCATTCACCAAATTACGCATTTTCGCTCGTAGTACGGTACATAAAAAGAAAAAATGCCGGTAAACAAATGCGCAATTTTTGCGTTCGGTGAACGTTTTGCCTGTATTTCAGAAGACTGTCCCAGTCCCAGCTGAAATTTTCTGTCATACATACGAGCTTGTCATGACTTTTAAAGAAAATCGAGTAAAATAGAATCGATAGTTGTGAAAGTTATGAAAACTTGGGAACTGTGAATAAATTGACCCTTCTTCCAACGCATAAATTGACCTTTTAGCGAACAAAATAGTACAAGGTACTTGAAAGAAGTAAAAAATATAAAAAAAAAATAGTTTCTCTCCATATTTCAACCATGTGTTATGCAGGCATAAGAACAAAGAACACTTACTCTGAGGACATTCTTGTAGATCCCTGTTTTCAAACAGTCGTAAAGTTTCTTTTTTTTATATTTAGTATTAAAATCTTGTAAAGCAAACTGAAAATAGATCCTAAAAATGTTTTACTCCAAGAAAAGAAGAAAGTATATTAAAGTTGCTTCAAATAGTTTAACTCAAAAATCCATAATTTTCTTGGGTATTTGGTTTTGGTTTTAGTCTTGGTCTTGCTCGTGCGGTGTTAGTTTTAGTCATGGTCTTCTTCGTTCGGTCTTGGTCTTGGTCTTGATCTTGTCAGTAAAAAGACAGTCTTTGTAAGACTTCAAAACCAAGACTAATTTTGCTCATTACTAACGCACGGGAAATAGCAATCAAACAAAACAATAGATAACACTTCATCTTTGCGAACAGTACCTTTTAAATGAAAGTTTCATTCTCTCAAATGTAAATCAAGTTTCCACGTTCACGTTATATGGTACGTATAAAACGACGCCCAGCACCTCCACCATTATTTTTTCAATTTACCATTCTTAAATTAAAATGATTTTAATAAAACATTAATGTTTTCATAACTAGAAGAGTGATACTTAATTTGTATAAAGAGCAACAGGCAGTTATAGAGCTGGAGCTTCAACGTAGAGAAGTAAATATTAGGAATGGAATCAGACAGGGATGTACACTGTCGCCGCTACTTTTTAATCTATACATCGAAGACGCGATCAACATCATTAAAGACAGTACAACTGTAGGGATTGATGTACAGGGACAAAAGATTAGTATGCTTAGATTTGCAGATGATATAGCATCTAGCAAGGAGGACCTAGAGATAGCTTTAAATTAAATGGAAGCGGTACTCTCAGATCAGTACTGTATGAAAATCAATAAAAGTTAAACTGAAGTACTGGTATGCAAGGGAAGAAAAAGTAAGGAAAGAGCAAATATAAAGATAAGAGACGAAAAATTAGAAGAAGTGGCTGATTTTAGATATCTAGGAAGTCAGATAAGTCAGGATGGAAGGAGTAGTAGGGATATAAAGCAGAGAATAGCGCAGGGTCGTGTCGCCTTTAATAAAAAGAAGTCACTTCAGTGCTCGCGAACGGTTAATTTAGAAATTCAAAAAAAGTTGTTAAACGTGTATGTTTGGAGCGCGGTGTTGTGCGGGTGCGAAACATGGACGGTGGGCGCGGCGGAAAAGAAAAGGTTAGAAGCCTTCGAAATGTGGTGCTATAGGCGAATGATGAGGATAACGTGGGTAGAAAAGGTTAGAAATGAAGAGGTATTGGAAAGAATAGGAGAACAGAGGACTCTATGGAAGTCAATAAAAAATAGGCGAGATAGGTTGGTAGGACCCCTTCTCAGACATGAAGGGCTAGTTAGAGACATATTAGAGGCAGAAACAGGAGTTAGGAGGGGTAGAGATAGACCTACGTTAGATGACTGTTCACAAGTAGTTAAGGATGTGAATTGTTCTAGTTTTAAGGAAATGCGAAGTTTAGCTCAGGATAGGGAAAGAGTGGAGGTACGTGTCCAACCAGTCTTAGGACTGACGAACTTATGATGAAGATAAACTAAGATGACTTAATGCTACATTATGCATCGTATTTATTTAATGATATTAAGATGTGTATTACATTGTCCAAACCAAGAGCTTTATGCTGATGTTGCCACATTACATAGCCAAAGAAACACTTCCTGACTAAGCGTGGTCGAAAATTCCATTTCTCTAAAAAGTATCACGAAATGTATAGGTATAAATCTGAAAACATTTAAAATTTTTTTTAGACCTGTCCTGATTACAATCTGATTTATTTACATGTATCATTTATTACAACAGTATCTAATTGTTTCGCCTCCCAACGATTCCTCATCAAATGGAAGAAATAGTCCTCAATTTTAGAAACTTGAATATCTTAATTTCATTTATATTTAAAGTTCTCGGGCATTTATAATTTTGCAAATACCGACTAATTGTATTTTTTGATTTGTTTTATTACAATACGACGGCATCATGACAAAATCCAAGTACCATTAAACAAAAATTTCTAATTTGAAATAAGCATGTAGTACCTACCTATATGTGTGTTATAACTTCAACAATTTCCTTAATTTAATTATTGAAAACGAAAATTTGAAATTGTAAGGTCACTATGGACACAGAAATGGAAACACAAACGGAAGAAATCGTTCTACGATTTCGAACTAAAAAACCTTTGGGACTTCTTCTTATAACAAGTACAGCAGAGACAGGAGACCGTGTTGAACTCGCGGTAGCAGCGGGAAGAATTAGAATGGCTTTAAGGATGGGAGTGAGAAAGAAAAAGGACGAGGACAAAGAGAAGGATAAGGTAAGAATATGGTAAAAAAGTAATAAATATCAGTGTACGTAGTAAAACTTCCGTATCACAACTTTTTCGAAAATAACTTTTTTCATGGAATTAGCTTTAAATAGACCAATTATGAAAAACTTGCATGGGGAGGTTCTATTTCGATAAATCACACCCAGAATGTTGATTCTGGGAGACGACAGGAGTTTGTTCCTGTAAAAAAGGGAAAGAATAACTACAGCAACACAAAATAAAATAAAATGTTGATTTTCATTGCTCTAATACACAACGGTTTAATTATTATTACAACGAGCATCCATTCTCAAGGCGTTAATACAATAAACCATAGTTTTGTAGAATCGTTAGTTTGGGCCTGAAGTTTAATTTTGGGGCAGCTCTGTCAGTAGAATATGTGTCATGTAGAAAGGATTTCATTTTGATCAGATATTAGCTTAACTTTTTTACGAATCAGGTTAACAATGAAAAAACAATATAGTGTTTTGTAAGTAAAGTGATATTCTTTAATATAAACAGTATTAATTAGAAATAGGAACATTGCTAAAAAAATAACACTTAATCTAACACTAAAAATCATTATAAACGTTTCTTTGCTATATGAAATGCAATTTTTATTATTATACATATAGTCTATTTCATCTATTTCTTTAAATTAGTATCGCCTGTGGTCGAAATTCGACGTTTCAAAAAACCTTTTAAAAATGCTTCAAAATTATGTCGGTAACTTAACTCATAATATTGTAAATTTATTAAATAATTGCAAATTGAGTTGTTTTATTCCCAAATCGTCAATGGTAAAACCGAGTAACGTAGCAATAAAAGTCCGAAAAATCGTCTCATATTCTATTAAGATGTATTCAAACATTTGGGCTTTTAAGAATACGTATCTGATCTGGGTGCAGTTTTTTAAGTTATAATGCTCGTTTTTTGAATTATTCTGAGTTTTAAATGAGCGTTATCTCAAAAACTTCTATTTCTTCATTTTTATATACAAACTTTAGATTCTTCTGGCTGGTCAACACGTCAATGATAACGAATGGCACACTATCAAATTTTCGAGGCGGGGAGTTAATTTGAAACTTCAGTTAGATGGGCATACACCTTTGCGGGGTAAGTAAATAATTTTTGCCTTTTTTCATGTAATGTTCTCTCCAGTATTCATATTGCATATCCAAAACGTTATTTAATAGATCATTGTAGTAGTTTAATCAACCACCCAACACAGCGTTTCTTAATCTTTTTGTAAGATGAAATGCCTTCTAATTATAATTTTTTGACGTGACAACGTCTTATAATTCGATGGAGCCGGCTACACGCACGAAAAAACATGACTCATGCGGCGTTACCTCGCTCTGAGGCGTTCCATTTAAGGCTTGAAGTGCAAGCGAGAGCGCGGAACGAGCGACAAAGAGGCACAATCGGCCTCCGCGTTCGGCAGCGTTCGACATCTGTCTCTCTCCTACTTGAGTGAGCGATGCGTCCGCGTGGACAGCTGCTATACAATAATACATTTCCATTTACCTCCTTCTCTATATCCATACAAAACATCTACCAAACAAATAAAATTAAAATTTTCTTTTGAAAAATGAAACCATTCCATCAGTATTTTCTTATGACGTTGTCACGTTCAACTATCGTCAGTAAACCGACTTTACAGACAACCGATTTTTTCACAGAACCCCTAGTTTAACTATTAATTTTCACTCACTTTTAATCAGTACATATTTTCATGTGTTTATTATTTTTATGACAACTAATCCATTTAAGAATGCCGTATCAAAAATATGCTACTAATAGTTAAACTAGGAGTTCCTTGAAAAAAGTGATATTAGATCTTATTTAAAAGTGTCACTCCAACCTTTGGGGTTGTGAGTAATTTCTATTACATTTGTTCCTTCTATTTCAAAACGTTTTTCTTCTGAAAGGCTTTTTATATCCAGGAAGTAATCAAAATTCTTGGAGCTCACACAATTTGTCCAAAATTATTTTCTTTTCATAAAAGCAAAAATCTTTTCATTAACAGTAAATACATTTACTCGAAAGGATTGCGTGATATTACAGAAAAATTCCACTACATACCTGTGAATTTTTATAAACGATGCTTAACTAGGATTCCATTTCGTGAGGCGTTAATTTTAATTGTTTTGTTTAAAATATTATGAAAAAGTGCTCGTAACTTTTCCAGAAGTCCCGGTTCCAACGAACTATATTTACCAAATTGTTTTAATAATCCCAATCAATCTATGTATGTATAGTAAAAAATGTACAAAAGTATATATATGTATCCATTACCCTCTTCGACGTTCTTACATCTTGTGATATTAAACGGATTCCTATCTCGTACTTTATCCCTTAAGGAAACTTCTGGAATAATTTACATTCCAATTTTCTTATTAACTTCAACCCATGATCGATGTAAGTAATTTTAAGTTTTAACAACTCGTTAATAAAAAGGGATATCATTCAGATTAGAAATGGAAATAGCAATACCATAAAAAAACACATCATATTCCGAACTCATACAATTTGCATAGCTACTTACTATTTTTTATGGGATATCCAAAGTTATAGTTGAGGAAATAAAAGACTGGACCTTCGAATTTTGTGCAGTAAGTCGGATCGATATGCGGTTTTCTGCATTCGATTCATGAAATGATGATAGAAATAGTAAGTCCGATTTTGTTACTCGAGCGTTTTGAAGATCGCTGGACACGAATATATAATCGGCGACGGCCTACAAGATACCTCAGGACCAAGGAGACCGTTATCACCTCGTCTCCAGGTGTTATGTTTTAAATTCATTAAAAATCATTTGAAATTAGTTAGGACGGAAGGAATAATAGGGATATAAAGCAGAAGAAAATGCAAGGTCGAGTTGCCTTTATTAAAAAGAAGTCAATTCTATGCTCGCGAACGGTTGGAAAGTCGAAAAAGATTGTTAAAGGTGTATGTTTGGAGAGCGGCGCTGTATGGGTGCGAAATATGGACGGTGAGCGCGACGGAAAAGAAAAGATTAGAAGCGTTCGAAATGTGGTGTTACCAACGAATGATAAGGATACCGTGGATAGAGAAGGTTAGAAATGAAGAGATATTAGAGAGAATAGAAAAACAGAGGGCTATAGAAGTCAATAAAAAATAGGCAAAATAGGTCGTTAGGCATGAAGGTCTAGTTAGAGACATACTAGAGGCAAAAACAGGAGTTAAGAGGATAGAGTTAGACCTAGATTAGATTACTGTTCGCAAGTAGTTAACGACGTGTGTTGTTCTATTTGGGAAATGTAAAGATTAGTTCAGGATAGGAAAGAGTGGAGGTACGTGTCCAACCAGTCTTAGGACTGACGACCTTATGATGATAATAACAGAAATACTTCAAAACAATATTTCGTTATTTTCAATGTATATATTTATAAACGAACGCCCTTAGTATCGGAAATAATTTTGAACTGCGATTCAATAAGGAAGGACTAAATAACACAATTTTACCCCTATCCCACAAAACTCTCCCACCTTGGATGTCATTCGCATAATTAATTTATAAAAGTTATCGAGTTTTATAAGTATATACTTTGTTGGTTTGTCTTCGACTAAAATAGTTCTGTAATAACTATTATTGAGTGGGACTAATGACGATCCCATGTATCGAACATTACAGCTGAGACACATGGCACATACACGACACTTCAATGGCGACGGATTTACATTGGAGGTGTCCAAGATGAACTGGGCATGTCGACGACAGTACCAAACTTTGTTGGAGAAATCCAACAGTTCTATTTCAATGGAATATCGTATATCGAGCTTGCCAAGTCGTCAAGCACCGAGCAGAAAATCGCTGGATTTCCAGCAATCAAAGTGGCAGCAAAGTTCGTGAAACGTCTCATAAATAATCTCCATCGACCCGTTACATTTCGCTCACAGCATACGTTTATAGGTGATGATAAAAAGTTATTCGTGCATGTTAATATCCTTCCGAACCATAAGCTTCCTAATCATATCGTATCACAGGAATATTTACATAAACTACAGTAAACAGTTTTAAAATATTTCAAATTCCAAATGTTCCTGTATTATCTTATTTTTCTTTAATATTTCGATTATGCCCTAAAATGAAGAAGATTAAATACTTAAATTTTATTACGGGATGCTCTTATTATTTTTTTTTTTTAATGCATTTGAATTTTCTATATAGATGTACAATGTACATAGTAAATTATAATTATCTATTTTGCGATAATTTCTAGCTTGAATTTTGATTTACCGAAAAATTTATCATAAAGATAAAACATTTTTCTTCAATAGTCTGCAAGCCAGTGAAACTTCTAGTACCTAAAATATTTCGTAAATAAATCAATTCTAACCAATAGCAACCTGACAAAGTTTTAAAATTGAAAAACAAATAGGAAACAGAAGAATTGTTTTGGGAATATGTGATTAAGTTTTCATTTGAAAGTTTCTAAAGTTAGTCAGCACATACTCTATCGATCTATGGATAGAGTGTCTCAATAGCTTTTCTTCGCTCTACTAACGGTCAGATTTTCTGGTCCTTCAGGACTGCCCATGCTGCGAGCATACTCCAGTATTCACGTTGATTTCCTTTTTAAAACAAAACATGCAAATGGATTGATTCTGTTCAACGGTGGAAAGAAAGACGACTTTATAGCTATAGAGCTAGTTAACGGACATATCCACTACGTACTGAATGTCGGCGAAGGAGCAATTAAACTGAAAGATGCCTCTAAAACTCCTCTTAACGACAATCATTGGCACACCGTTGGTATTAGGAGGCCTTCTCTTAAACAGCACACTCTCATGGTAGACGACGATGTTGTGGTAAGCCAGTAATATTTTATTCACAAAAAAAATCCAACGTGTAATTATACAACACGCTACGGAAGTGAAACTTCTTCAAACACACAAACATACCGAGATAGGGGTTAGGGAATTGGTTTAATGGTATTATTTGTACACTATGCTTCGCACGGGTGCAATGCTGATAGTAAATATACTATAGAATGTCTTCATATACAATAATCACAGCTTTTTTGTCAGTTGACAATACAAATCGGCCGGTATCGCCGCAACCGCTATGTCCCTGCATTTTAAGTCTGTAATATGTTCGAAATTCATTTAAATTACATGCTGTAAAGGGCCATATTGTTCTCTATTAAATGCACAATGTATTTAATAGTACTTAATTGGATAAGGATTAATACTGTATTGCTTATAATCGCTTCGTAAATATTTCTCGTAAAAAGTAAAGGATAAAAAATTGTTATTGTGGGTTATCCCTAAGAGATAGACATATACCATCCCGGACTTTTTTGTAGACCTTTTTAAGGTGTACAATACTGTAATATATTATTTTGATCTATCTCGTAGGGTTCAGCCAGCGTTTGCAATGTAAGCGCAAAAAAT